TGACTGGCTCAGGGACCCAGATGTGACCCTGGGCGGTGCTCTTAGCCCTGCCCTGTGCTGTGCTTGACTAAAGCCCTGACCTCTGTGGCCTCCCTGCCCTGGATTCCAAATCTGCCCGGGGTTCCAGCCCCTGAAGGGTGCAGTCTGGCCCTGGAAGAGCCACTGGGACAGAGCTCCTATGGGTGGGGTGGAGGTGGTGGTCCTCTGTCCAAGTCTGTGCCCTAAGCTGGGACCCCACAGGAGGAGGTCTCACCAACTCAGACTTCACGTGCGGTCACTGATGGCCATTGTGGGAACCACTGGACACATGGGGTCCCTTGTCTGGGAGTGGGGTGAAGAGCTCTCTGCCCTTGGGCAGTTGAGTAGGGGACTTTGAGCACTGCTGCTCTGGGACCTGGGCAGTGGGGACCTGGTCAGCAGAGTCCTGGCCAGGGAGGCGTGGTCAGTGGGGGCCTGGTCATCGAGAACATGGTCAGTGGGGGATTTGGTCGTCATGGGTCGGGTTAGTGGGGGCCTGGTCAGCAGAGACTTGGACACTGGGGCTTAGTGAAAGTATGATCAGTGGGGAAATAGTCAAGGGGCCTGCTCAGCAGGGCCTGGCTAGCAGAGGCCTGGCCAGCTGGCCGCTGGATGACCTCAGACAGAGGGTTTGTCCTTGGAGCCTCTTTGCCTCTATTCATAGTGGGGATGAGTCATGGCATCCCTGAGCACTCGCCAGGTGCAGGTTCTGCACTGACCTTGTGGACGGTCTTTTCCTTCATCCTCACAGCAACTCCGTGGGTGGATGCTGTTCCCAAATGTAGCCATTCCACAGATGAGATGTCTAGAGTCAGAGAGGTAATGACTGACCCAGAGACCCAGATGTGACCCTGGGCTGTGCTCTCAGCCCTGCCCTGTGCCATGCTGGACTCAAGCCCTGACCTCTGCAGCCTCCCTCCCTTAGATCCCAGCCTCCCTCCCTTAGATCCCAGCCTCCCTCCCTTAGATTTCCCTGGGGTTCTGAACCTTCATGGGGTGGAGGGGGTGATTCTCAGTCTAAGTCTGTGTCCGAAGCTGAGTCCCCACAGGAGGAGGTCTCACCAACTCAGACTTCAGGTGCGGTCACTGATGGTCCCCATGAGCCCCACTGGACACATGGGGTCCTTCATCTGGGAGTGGGATGGGGAGCCCTCTGCCCTCAGGCAGTTGTGGAAAATGAAGGAGCTCTAGAGGGCTGCCTGGAGGGTGACGATTGTCTCTCCTGGTCAAAGGGGCTTGGGGACTGGAACCTTCTCTGTCTGATCCTCTGGAGACCTTGTCCTCCCTTTGTCCCAGGTATTCTCAAGGACGATGGTCCCCCTGGGTGTTCTCCAGGACCAAGGCCCCAGAGTTCTGTTGTTTTTTTCTTGGTGATCCAGGAAAACGAAGCCCCCTCCTGTACTGACAGCTGGGAATTGCGGAGTCTGCCGTCCTCCACCTCAGACGGGGTTTCCACAAGCAAAGAGGCTGCTTTGGACCCGATAGGTCATTTTTTCCCCAAACTAAACACCCTCCTGCTTAGCTGGCATTGTTCCTGAAGCGGCTTCACTGGCCAGAGTGAGTGAGAACTGGAGTAGAACGGAGCAGTCACCAGATGTCTTGCTTCGTACAGAAAACTGGGCATCTTCATGGTCCCAGAAGGATCCCAGGAGGCTGATCCTAAAGAGACGTCTGGTTCCTGACCCCAACTGCCTCCAGGTGCCCGGAACAGCCCATCGTGGACCCTTTACCCTCAGCAGGTGGACGCTGTTTGTCCTGCCAGGGCAGGTGTGTGCCTGTCTCAGAGCATTTGGGAACAATGGGCCTCTCTGTCAGGTCTCCCTATGTTCAAATCCTCAGGAAGGAGCCCACTCCTGGTCCAGGGCAGGGACTCTAGAGACTAGGGCAGGGGTGGGACCACTGGGCTTAGCCTCTTGTCTCAGGGAGCAATGGTGGAATGGGGCTTACCTGTCTGGCCAGCATTTGGGGGTCTGGTGGGAGCCGTTCGGCTGTGCTCTGGAGCTCTCGGGTACAGCACAGCCTTTGGATGACTTTGTCTTGCAGGATGGAGATGGATGAGGACCCGGATATCCTGCGCACCCAGGGGCAAGGCAACATCATCATTACTAAGTATGAGCAGGTACAGGTCAGGCCGCTCCCTTGAGGAAGGTGGGGCCTCAGTTCCTCTACTGGTCAGAGCCTGGTCAGAGGGTCCTGGGCTCCCCAGGATCAGAGGGTGGAGATAGGCTGTCCATGCCCTCAGGACCCCAAGCCCCTCACCTTGCCCTTGTCTCCCTGGCCCTTGCTGGGTCACAGGGACGCTGAGCTGGGGCAGCAGTGGACATGCAGCATGAGCATGTTGACATCTGGAAATTTACCGGTCGCCTCTGGGTTATGTGGTGAGTCCTCTGTCCCCCCACCCACCAGTCTCACCTCAGGGATGGGTTTTGTTTTTAGAAAGGTCTCTCTGAGTTAGGGCAGGTTTCCCCGGCTTAGGCCAATCTCCTCTCTAGGGTCTCAGAACTCCTCCCTGCCTCTCCTACAGGTCCAGCCCGTGGTCAGGGTTAGGGCAGAGCCTCAAGGCCCATCTAGGGAGCTGGGGAGAGTGAGTGGGTCAGAGAGGGGCTGGGTCAGCCCCCGGGCTCTCAGCACTGAGGTCTCCACATGAGCAGGAGAGGAGGGGGCAGCCTCAGGGTCTGGCCCTGTCCCCTTGGGGCCTGCCCTGGTGAGATCTGAGGGTGGTGGCCACAGGGCAAGGGGACACCTGGCCAGGTCTGTGGGCAGTTGTGTAGCAGGTCTCCAAGGGCTCAGGGGGCCAAGCTGAGGCATCCTATAGGGAGGGGCATGGGGACAGCAAGGGCTGTGACCCTGGGAGGCAGGGGGAGAAGAAGGGTAGGACCTGGCCTGGGCATCTCATAGTGAGGCCAGGTGAACAACACAGCGTGCAGCTGAAGGCCCCGGGAGTGGTGCTGGGATAGGACCTGGGCCTGGTAAGGGGAGCCCAGCCTGGAGCCGACCCCTCAGGACTCACAGGATGGAGAGAGGGAGGAGCCTGGGGCAAGGGGGCGGGGTGAGCCCGTGAGAACTGCCACTTCTGGAAGGCACCTAAACCAAGATGGCCTAGGGTGGAGGTGATAGTCTGGGGAGGAAAACAGGTGGGGTGGTCAGGGAACAGTGGCTCACCTGGGACCCCTCAGTGAGGGGACTCGGTCAGTCCCCAAGGCTCTGCGTGGCCCTCCAGAGACTGTGGTTCCTGCTGGCTCAGTCAGCACTGTGCAGGGTGGATGGGGGGCTGAGTTGGGGTAGGTAGGACAGTAGGGGGAGGACAGGCAGGCATCCCACGTCCTGGTTTTTGCAGTGGCTGGGAGGAGGCTGAGGGCTGAAAGTCAATGACCCTGAGAGCTCACTGAGGCTGTAGGTGGGGTGGTGGGGCCAGCTCCACTGCCTGCAGGGCCCTTGGTCACCCTTGTCACCCCAGGCTTCTCCCCAGCAGCGCTGAGCAGCCCAGTTAGAGACCTGGGGGTCTCATGCCTAGGCTCTGACAGGAAGAGAGTCCGGGAAGGGCCAGGGTGGCTGGAGATAGGGTCACAGTCTCTGGGTCAGGCAGGATGGGCGACGATGGGGAACAGGCAGGGTCAGCGGCCAGGGCGCAGGCAGAGGCAGGTGCACGCTGGGAGGTCAGACCCTGCAAGGCCTGTGGGGAGTGTCGGGTGGGATGGGTTCCAGGTGCATCCTCAGGGCGCTGGGCAGCTCTCAGGCCAGGCTCCCTGGACTCCGGTGGGTGATGTGGTCACTCCTGAGGCACTGCTGTCAGTCAGGGCTCGGCCACCCGCCCTAGGCGGCACCCATCCTGTCTCAGAACTGGACTTTCTCAGCTCCCGCAGAGGGTGTTGTGTCCAGCCCAGGAGGAGCAGTCCCACTGTGTGGGCCGAGGTACCCCACGGGCCCCAAGTGGCCCCTGCCAGGCCAGCCTCGAGCTCCCTCTTCTCCAGGGTCCTTGTGTCTCATGGGCGTCAGCTCTACAGGGAGGCCCTTGCCTTCCTTCCCTGTGGCTTGTCCCGGGATGAGACTTAGGGTGGATGGGGAGGGCCGGGGCCCTTTCATGGACGAGGATGGCTCCTGGCCCGGGCAGGTCCTCAGCTCTGCCTGGGTTGCCTTACAGTGAGACAGAGTTGCCCATGTCAATGCCCTGAAGGTGCATGTAAGAGCCAGTGCCTGCTGCGTGGGAGGCTGGTCCAGGGACCAGGAATCAGGAGTGGTCGGTGAGACAGAGGGGGTGGCCCGTGGGCCCAGGCAGTGGTGAGTAGGCCATGGCTGTCCCTGGGACGGGCAGCCTTTCCTGATGGACTCTGTTCCCATGAGCGTTTGACCAAAACCCAAACCAAGAACCACAATCTTGGCTCAGAGGCCATTGCCTGTTTGCACCAAGTCCCCAGCTAAAGGCCGGGGCCCGACCAAAACTTGGGGTGTTTGTGGCCTGAGGATTGCATGTCCTGGGATCACCAGTCCAGATCACCAGCTCCAGTTAGTTCAGAGAGTCTCAGCTCCCAGGGTCTGCTCTGTTCTGGCTCCTTCAGGGCCTGGAAGCCCAGGACGCAGCATCCATGGGCCGCTGCTGGAGGCCAGGCAGCTCCACTAACTCCATCCTGGTTCATTTGACAGCAAAGATGTCAGGAAATAAAACGCACTGCCAAGTGGCTGAAAATACTCAGAGACTGGACAAAATATAAGAACAGCAGGAAGGTAACAGAACAGCTGGGACTGGTGGCTCAGACCTGTAATCTCAGCACTTCAGGAGGCCGAGGTGGGCGGATCACCTGAGGTCAGGAGTTTGAGACCATCCTGGCCAACATGCGAAACCCTGTCTGTACTAAAAATGCAAAAATTAGCTGGGCATGGTGGCGGGCGCCTGTAATCCCAGCTACTCAGAAGGCTGAAGCACGAGAATTGCTTGAACCCAGGAAGTGGAGGTTACAGTGAGCCAAGATCACGCCACTGTACTCCAGCCTGGGCGACAAGAGTGAGACTTCATCTCAAAAGAAAAAGAAGGTAACATGGGGAGGGAGTGGCCTCTGTGACTGCTCTCTGCAGTCAGGAGACAGGCGCCCATGGCCATGACATGGCACCATCTGCCTCTCAGAGGGTGGGTGGCACCCAATCCTCATCATAGGACAGCAGGACTGTTTGCTGGCTTTCCTCCCCCAGTCACCACACGTCCTGTCTCACTAGAGGGTTCTTCTGTCTGTAGCTGTCTCAAAGCGTGTACAAAGGCATTCCCCTGGCGGTGTGAGGCTGGGCGTGGTCACTTCTGCTAGACATTGACAAAGTCAAGTCTCAGAACCCGGGAAATACAAGGTAAGGCCCTCCCACACTCGGCCAGGGCAGGACAAATAGGCCAGGCTGTGTCAGGAGCCCAGGACTCCAGCTGGAGGGAACATTGAGCCCGGGTTGGGGGTGGGGGCTGTGGTCAGACGCACATGCTGGGCACAGATGGTGACACAGGCACCACAGGTGCCTGTGACCTCCCTGGCTTCAGAAACAAGGCAAAAAAGGAGCTTTCTGCAGAAGGAAACCTTTTTCCCTTCCTTCCAGAAGTGCTGACTGTGGGAGGACTGCCGTTTGGGGCAGGAAGTCTTTTGTCTGTTCTGAGGCTGCTTCCTCCTCTCGGCCCTACCCTACAGGTCATGAAGGAGAAAGGCAAGAGGTCCTCCAGGATCACCCACCGCATCAAGGTAGATGCCAGCTGTACCCTGCAGAACCACACGATGTTTAGAGAAGGATTCAGAGTCAAGTAAGGCCTATGGGGGCTGCAGGGGTCCTGGGAAATATGGGGTGATCCAGAGGGATAAGGGCTTCCCCAGGGCAGAGGCCAACGGTCACCCAGGAAAAGTGACAGAGCTGCCAAGGGCTCTCCTGGCCCAGGCAACAGCCAGCATTACGGACTGAGCACCTCCCGGGCTCTAAGCCCTGGGCCGGGCTGGGACATGTGGGGCCAGAACCCAGGTGGCTTCCAAGGAAATGGAAGGCAGCAAAAAAAAGTTATGCAAAATGGTGAAAAGTGCCCTCCATGACCTACAACTACCCAGGAAGGTGGCAGGGTGGTGGGACTTGGGAGCCTTCCCAGGCAACACTGACAGCCCAGAATACTAGGGAGGATGTGGGGCCCCGGAAACTCTCACCCATGACTGATGGGAACACGACAGGGCACAGCCACTTTGGAGGTCAGATGGGCCGTGGCTCACAAAGTTCGGTGGCCTTATACCACACATCCCCAAAGTGTCACAGATATTGACCACACTGATTTGAAAACTGACGTCCAAATAAAAGCTGCATGCCACGTTCACTGCTTGATTGATTGTCACTCACACCCGGAGGCTACCGAGATGATCTTCAACATGGGTACTTAAGAGGAAGGAGGTTCCACTCCAGACAAAGACGACTCAGTGAGGAAAAGGAACGAATCCCTGATGCCCGCAGGAACATAGGTGGAACTTAGATGCGTATTGCTGAGGGAATGACGCCAGACCCCACAGGCTACCACCGCAGGATTCCAATTCATCGGCCATTCTGGGAAAGGGCAAAGCATAGAGACAGAGAACAGGTCAGGATGGCCAGGCGCTGACGGAGCTGGGAGATGTTGACTGCAAAGGGGACACGCTGGGGACTTGAAGGATGAAGGAGCCGCTCTGGGAGGGGCGGCAGTGGTGGATGGAAGGGTCTGCACATTGGTTCAGAACCGTAGAACTGCACGTCCCAAAGACTGGACTTCTGTGTTTGCAACCCGAGCAAAAGGGGAAGAAAAAAATCAACCAGAGTGAAAATGATTACTGATCTAACTGTACACCTGTGATATTTGCATTGCAAGGAATGTGGATTTTACTGAAAAAACTCCTAAAAACTCCGGTGTCCTGAAGAGCTCACTGCTTATTTGGGAGAACATCTGAACCCAGAATTGTGTTTGTTGTCCGGGTTTGTAGACAAAATGAAACTGACAGCATCTGCACAAAACAAAACAAAAAACCCCTCTTTTCCCTCTTTTCTAGGCAGCAGGAATTATGTGACATCCTCGTGGCCTATTCTGCATATAACCCTGTGAGTATTCCGGGCAGCGATATTCCTGGGCCCTGTGCCCATATTCACAGGCATGGGTGTCTCTCGGGGGTGTCAGCACTTCTGGAAAATTCAGTGTTCGTGACCCACCAGCACGTAGTAGGCAGGACTCAAGCTCACTTGCTGGCGTGGACACCCAAGCAAGGGTTGGCTGAGGGGGTCAAACTGAGATGGAAAATGGTTGAGGTCCAGACTCTTGGTGTCATCTTGACCCGATCCCCACGTCTCAGATGAAGAAATGACCTTCCCCTCCTGGTGTTGCCCCGAAGCCCAGGAGCTTGGCAGGGTCGCATGCAGATGGTCCTCACAGGAGACAGGTTTGACAAGTTGCTGAGGTGCCTGATGGACCAGGCTTTTGTCATTAAATGAGTTTGCACCCTGAGGAAGCCTCTTCTTCACCAGAAACCAGGCAGAGATCCAATTTTCCCTTTCCCTGAATGCCATACGAGTGCAACAGACAGGCAGGGTGTCACCCAGGTGGCTGCTCCTGCGCCACTCCCACTTTCCAGACCATTCCAGGCAGGGAGAGCCGCTGAGCTGACTCCATGGGCTGCCCACATGGGGTCTGGACCCAGCCGCCCTCCTGTGCCTGGCAGGCAGCCCCTGAGCTGTTGCAGGACCCTTTGTGTGGTGGTCAGTCCCCGCTGCCTGCCCTTATGGTGGGTGCAGTTCACAGGTGCTGCTCCAGGCCTGGCACAGTGGCCTCCCTAGCCTGGCCCAGGGGAAGGGGCATGAACAATCCCTGCCTGTGCCCTTTAGGGCCATGTGAGCTTAGACGCTCGCTGCAGGAGTCCCCCCAGGATCCTTGTCAGCTGAGTCATATGTGACCTGCTCAGTCCTCATGCCCACCCCAAATCCCTGGAGGCCTGTGGCAGGTGTCCCCAAGGACCTCTGCCATCTCTGGTGACATGAGTCCTCCCAGGTGGCCTCAGCCCTCCCAGGTGACATCCTTCCATGGTTACTCTGGCTCTTGCAGGAGGTGGGCTACCACAGGGACCTGAGCCACGTCACCGCCATCCTCCTCCTGTATCTGCTGGAGGAAAATGCTTTCTGGGTGCTGGCCCAGCTGCTGGTCGGTGAGGGGCACTCCCTGCAGGGTAGGTGGACAGCTGCCCCCAGGGCCTTACACAGCCATGCCAGGGGACGGCCACCCTGGCTGATGATCCTGACTTCCAGGCAAGGCGCCTTCCTTGCATCCCAGCTTGTTTGGAGTCTCCAGGATGTCCCTGCTGAGGGTCCCACAGCAGCCTGGGTCTGGACAGGGACCCTCTTACCTCAAGTCAGATGCCTTTCACCCCCAACAGCAGAGGTCATTGATACCTCCCCCTGGCTGGCCTTTGTCCCCCGAAGCCAGCCCCAACTTTGTGCAGGCACCGCTCACCTCCCTGAGTGTCCTCCTGCCTCCCAGCTGGCTGCACTCCCAGCACCTTCCCTGCCCACGAATGGGCTGATGAAGCCCAGATGGCAATGTCCCCCATGCATCCCATGTCCCCCAGCCTGACATCACATCCAGGAGATGGCCACACAGCCCCCAGCACCCACCCCGTTCTCCCCACTGGCACCTGCCTGCCTCTGCCCTGCCTCAAAACATCAAAGGCAGGCCTGCCCTCCTGGCACCTCGACCCATGATGCTGCTGGGCAGCACCTCCAGCTAGGGCCCTCCTCCCTAGGGCTGAGGCCGCATGATGGGGTCACCAGATAGGAGGGAGGGAGGCCTCAGGGCCCAGGGTCCTCTGCCACTACCCAGCTCTTGGGAGTGGACTCTGATGGGGTGATGGGTCAGGGGCTTCTCAGTATTTTACAGTCCGAATACTGCCTGGCTCTGGAGGCTCCTATCACACCAGGAGCAGGTGTTGCCCAAGTCCTTCCCAAAGATCATGAGACACCTGGTGAGTGGACAACACCCCCAGCTCCTCCCCAGAGGCCCTGGGTCCCACGAGCCAGGGGCGGCTCGAGTCCCTCATGGAGCTGACAAGAGGCCAAGTCCCAGCCACAGCCTGACCTGGGATGGGGATTCTCCATGGGTTTGGAGTTGGGTTTCCTTTTCTTGCCCTGGGGGAAGCAGAGGTGCTGGGACCAGAGCCAAGCTCTGGCTGAGCAGGGCTGAGGGAAGTGTGTCCATCGGGCATCTGGGTATGGGGCAGGGGTTGGGGGACCCCTGGCCACTGCCCTGGGTTCTGCTCCTCGGAGGAGGGTCTGTAGAGGGGACTGGAAGTAGGAGGACTTCAGGGTAGCCCAGGGGGCCCTGAGCACCTCTGCTCCTCCCTTCAGGGCAAGGAAGGGCTGTGCACCGAGGGTTCCATGTTGATGAGGCTCCTCCGGTGTTTCATGGGTGGGATAAGGAGGCACAGGGAGACTCCAGCCCAGGGGTGCAGTGCCCAGCTCCCTCAGCCCAGGGGTCCAGCTCCTCCAGGAGGACCTGGTTCACCCCCAGCTCACAGGAGGCACAGGCAGGTCCCTGCAGGGCTCACAAGCCAGGCCCTGCCCAAGAGGGGCATCCCATAGCAGAGGCCAAGGCTCGGCCCAGCCTTGCGGGAAGACTGGGGCAGGACCCGACTTGGGAGGGCCCAGGGAAGCCCCAAGTCCTCAGGAAACCCCTCCTTCCGGAAGCCGCAGCACTGCTGAGATGAGCCCCCCATGAGGAGCTACAGAACCTTGTCTGACTCAGTGTTATGGGGGATCTCATCCCTTGGAAAGGGGGTCCCCAGCACTCCAGGGTGGGCCCTGCTCAGGCCATCAGCCCCAGCCTGGAAAGGCCAGGTCCTCCCACACCTGCTGTCCCCACAGAAATCCTTTGGGCTCACCCCACAACTGTGGGATGTGTTTATCTTGGAGGGCGAGCAGGTAGTGACGGTCGTGGAGCATGAATCATCCAAAATACACAGGAATACGTCCTGTGTGCCCAAGGGTGCCTGGGGGAGGGAACACGCAGAACAGATCCCAGCTGGCCTGAGGGAAGTGTCCTCACACTGTCCCCATGACTCTTTCCTCTATCCTGATAGGGGGGTCTGGCCTGGTGGGCTGGGCAAGGCATGATGACACTGAGTCCACCCCCACATGACCCAGATGAAAGTCAGGAGTGTGGTGAGCACTTCCCTGCCTGGCCTTCCCCAGCTGTCGCCTCCTGTGCACAGCCGGACCCTGGGGTGGCCAAGAAGGAACAGGCACCACCCAGTGGGAGGTGGGCCTGGTGGAAATGGGGTGCAGGCACAGATCTCCCCCAAGGAATCCTCCTGACCTGATACCCGCCCTGTCCCTAGAGTACCTCATGAAGCTTTCCTGGAGCACCATCTGGGAGTTTCAGGAGCAACTGTCTCAGAGCTGGGCCCTGGAGGACAACGCAGTCCTCAGGAACCTTCAAACCTCCATGAAGGAATTCACAAGGAAACACTGGGACCTGCCACCCCCAGGTGAGCTCCAGCACCAGGTCCCGTCCCGAGTCACCCTCTGGGACAGTCAGTAGTGGGGAGTGCCCTGGACCCATCAGCCCTCCTACCTGGCCTTCCTCCTGCACCTCTTCTTCCTCCTCTTCCTCCTCTACTCTAAGAAACTCAAATGGGTCTGCCGGTCCTCAGGGCAGGCTCTGAGAGCATGTGTGTGTGTGCTGGACATGCTGTGTGGACAGGCAGGGGTCATGGGCAGGACCCCACAACACCCCTCCCCGACTTTCCCCATTGTCTCCCTCACCCCCTCAAAGGGCCCTGAAGGGCATTGGGGCAGTCAGACCGAGCTGTGGAAGCCCCCACCCCCACCTCCAAGCAACCTCAGAGAGCAGCAAGGGCCCCTCACTCCTGAGTGCCCCTCCAAGGGTATCAAGACAACAAGCCAGGGGGACAAGAGAATCAGTGTCCCTGACCCAGAGAGGATTTGGGCAGAGGGGATGGGGGAAGCCCTGACCCAGAGCCATAACCAAGAGTTCAGCTGGGCGTGGGATCGGTCCAGCCCTGGCATGGGGTGGACGGACTGGAGGGCAGAGGGGAAGCTGTGCCCATTCACTTCTCACCTGCTATGGAGACAGGCCCCCATGCGAGGTGCTGGGTGACAGTGAAGGTTTCTTCCACCTGAGTTCTGAGTCAGGGCTGCTGAACAGCCCTGAGGTGAGGGTGTGAGGCAGGAAGCCCTGAGTCAGCCTGAACCCAGGGGGCCATTCTGGGAGTGACCTGAAGTTCTCTGAAAGCTCCCCCACCCCAGGCTCCACACAGCCCTCGCCCTGGGATCAGCAGCGTGCAGGGGCATCCTCAGTGTCAGGCCAGGGGGCTACACAGGGACCCCGAGGACTCCAGAGGCCCCGGTCTCTGGGGCCCGCCCTGAAGGGACCCAACGCGTTCAGTGAAGATGTTTCTTTTTTTCCGCCAAGATGGAGTGAGGGTCCTCGAGGGTGTCCCCTGGCATTGGGCCCTTCTGTCAGGGGGACAGACTGGCCCTCCCCACCCCACCAGCTCAGCTCCAGGAGCTCATGCCATTAGTCCCCCTGGAACAAAAGCCCTGTCACCCCCAGCCTGGCCGGATAGGACTGTCCCCAAGGCCGAGGCTGAGGCCCAGCAGCACAAGGGGCTTCCCCAGAACCCAGGGCAGCAAGCCACTCTTTGAGGGGCCCAGAAGCTCAAGATGAGGGCAGCCTGTCCCCCGGTGAGGTCAGGCTTTGTATTACACTAACACTTGTCCGGGAACTCTATGCCACAGCTCCACACAGACCCGCATGTCGGGGGTCCATGTTTCCTGTGCTGCCATTTTGAACACGGCTCCTGGGACTCTGTCACTTCTCCATCTTCTGTGGACAGCCCTGGAACAAAAAGACAGACCCCACCCAGCGAGCCCACTGGGACCCCGACACCAGGCCCTGCCCTGGCTTATAACAGAGAAGAGGCCGGTCAAGAGATACCCCAGCAGCAAGGTGGCACCTGCCTGTGACTCCCCTCGGTAGAAGAAGAACTTGGAATGGAAGGAGCCCAGGCAGTACCTGCCCAGCTGCCTTACAGCCCCAGATGGCTGCTGGACCTTGGTTTTTACTGCTATTTTATTTTTATTTTATATTTTTGGCTTGTGGGCCTTGAGAAATCCCATTCAATGGGGGACTTGGTCCCATCAAGGCCTCAGGAGGGAAGGCTGAGCATGGGGTTCCCACAGCCCCAGCCAGCCAGCAGCGTGCCCTGGGGCCCCTGACTCCACCTGTGGGTCAGAGTCCCTCCCCCAGGGCCCAAGTCCCAGGTCTAGAGGGACCTGGCTTCAACCCGAGTCCTAGGAGGAGAGGGGCACCGCAGGCCTCCAGGTGACCACGCAAGGGACCAGGGCATTGCAAGCCCTGATGCTGTAAGGATTAACATCAGAGAACCTGGGTAAGCCAGGCCAGAGACGCTGAGCCCGTGCAGTGATGAGGATGTGGGGGGCTGGCTCAAGGGGGTCAACAGCTGTGAACACTGCTGCCTCTTCCCGACCTCATTGCTGCAGTGCAGGCAGTCTGCATCCCGGAGACTGGCCCACCAGCGCCCCAAGTGCCCTAGTCCGCTATGCCAACGTGGCACCCAGAGACTTCGCAGCCCTGCCTGCCGCACCACCCCCCTCCTGGAAGCCTTGTCCTGCAGCCTAGTCCCTGTTACAGCCACAGCAGGCACCACTGCCAAGCGCCTTCCAGCCCGGCTTCCCAGAGGGCAGAGGCGCCCTGCAGTCATTGCCTCAGCAGCTCACACTGTGAAGATAGTTTCATCTACATTCCCATGTTCCCACCAAAGAGAATCGCTGCAGAGGATGCTCTTGATCCTGAGGTGGGGAAAACGGCACGCCAGGTGAATGGAGTCAGCTCCTTTCCCCAGCCACCACAACTGCTGGATGGACCCACGGACAAAGTGGCCATCAGACAGGAATGAGACACAAGAGGCTCAGCATCCTGCTTGTACCCTGACCAGGATGACCAGGCCGACACCACTGCCGAGTGCCCCATCTGCTGAGAGACTTGGTGTCGATCCCTGGGCTGGCACTGTTTCCCAGGAGGACCGGTTGGCCACCTGTGGGCAGGCTACCCACACTGTGGAGAGGGTTGAGATCGGCTTTCACTGCAGAGAGCTCCTACCTGGACACAGACTCGCCGGCCCTGCCTGTTGCCATCACAGCAGCCCACAGGGCATTGCTTGCGACCAGGGTACCCCATTCACAGTGAGGGACATGGAGCCATGGCCCCGATCAGGGAACTAACTGTTCTCACTACGTCAGCCACCACCTGGAAGCATCGCTCAGTTACACTGAAGTGATGGTTTGTCTTACAAGATAAATGTTATGCTTTCTACTGGAAACCAGTATACGGTGCTGACTCTCCGACAGCCAGAAGGTGTAGTTCTGAGAGAGTGAAGGTGTGAAAGTGGGCGATGTTCAGTATTGCATGGAATGTCTCAGTCACCAAGTTTTCCTATGCCTGTCCTGGAGAAATGGAGCTTTGCTGGTTGGAAGGTCTGAGGACCCAGGCAGAGTGAAGCTTCCCCCAGGGGAACACAACAATGGCTCTATTTAATATGAGAAGACAGGACTAAGTCTGAAACCCAGGGTGTTCTCTGGTGTTCTTGGTGTTTTCATGCAAAGAAAGTCAAATAACAAAGGTTTGCCACAGAGGCATCTGAAAAAGGAGGGGGCAGAACTATTCAGATCTCAGAGGCTTCAGAATCGAAGATGAGGCCAACCAGGAGACTCCTGACCTGCTGAGGGCAGGGAAAGTATGTGGGGGTGGCTGGGAGACGATGTCATAGCGATCTACCCCCACCTTGTGATCTGTCAGAGAACCGTGCTCTTGAATAGCTGTGTAAATCTTCTCTCCACTGATTATAGTATTTCTTTCCATTTGTGACTCTCCAATCAAGCAAGGAGCTTGCTACAAAATGCACTTTGCTATACCATAGCCTGGGTCTTGCAATCCAAGGCTGGCAAGGATTCCTGTAGGTCAAGGGCCTCAGGTGACTTTTGTGCACAGCCAAGGACAGAGTCCTAGATGACACCTTCCTGCTCTAAAAAGAAGGAACAAGCGTCAACGAACAGCGAGCCAGTCACGGAAAGGGGTGAAATGTGAGTGCGTGACCTTCCTGACACCCAGACAAAACTTTGGGCATGAGGGCAGGCTGCAGCTCTGGCCACTGACTCTGACCAGGGACGCCCCCATGCAGGCCAGTGTGCCCTGGTTGCTCTTCTCCCTCCTGCCACCCTCTCCTCGGCTGTCTGTGTGGGGGAGGGAGAACCTGCCAGTTTTCAGAAGAAAATGTAGCTTTATTATGACATGGGAAAGACTCAAGTTATTAGGGGAGGAGGAGGAGTCCTGAAACAGCTCCTGAAAATGAGAGGGAAAAGAAAGGTGTAAATATGTTGGTAATAAAGTCTCCAACCACAGCACAGTCATGGGAATGTTTTTGTTACAATTTTTGTTTTCAAAGTTACAGTAAACAAAACAGTCTCCTGAATTGTCAAAAGAACAGCAGTTTTACACAATGAAAAGCATACACACCAAGCCAAAATAAGTCACACTTGGGTCTGTATGTTGCAGTGGTGCTGGTGCAGGAGGGAACATCCAGGGAGGTTCCAGTGCCTGCCAGGCAGCCCAGGTCCACTGAGGGCCCCGGGGCTGGAGGGAGGTCATGTACCACTCGGCTCAAAGTGCTCCCTTCAAGCATCTGAAGAGGGAAAGTCCATTTATCTTCTCTGAAATGCAGGCAATTTTTCATACACTGGTGTGAATGTGTTGGGGTCACCCAGGGGCTCCCTTAGTGGCCAGATGCAGTTTGTCACAAACTGGTTCCCTGAATTTCATATTGGATCGGGAGCTAAAAGAAGAGAGATTCCCAAACCCATCATGTCAATATTTGGTTCTAACAAAGTAAAATCACAAGAGCACATCAAACACAGGACCTAATGCCCACGGCAGTGCCCAGGGCTGCTGTCCCTCTTGGGTGAGAAGTTCTTTAGCAGCAGGCACAGAGGTAATTGCTTAGAAAGGCAATGCCACAGTGAGTAAGGGAGATTAACTTGGATACAAACATTTAGAAAGATGCCTGAAGAAAACTAATGTGGCTCCATCTCTCTTCTGGATTCTAATGTTCCCAGAGCAGCAGCCACCCCTAAATGCAAGTGGAGACAGGATGGAAGCCCAGGGAGACATGGGGGAGGCGGGGCTTGGCCAAACCACAGGCAGCTGCCAGAAAGGCCGACACACCTGCATTCTGCACTCTGTGGTGGACACCCCAGGAAAGCAGGGGTGCCCCTGTAACTGCCAAACAGGTTCACCTTGTCCGCGGCCTAGACAGAGCTGATTTATTGAGACAGGGGAATTGCAACAGAGAAAGAGTAATTCATGCAAAGCTGGCCGTAGGAGAGACCAGAGTTATACTCCAATCAGTCTCCATTGGCATGATCCATCAGCATTCGGGGATCAGAGTTTGGAAGGATAATTTGGTAGGTGGTGGGGAAGGCCAGTGAGTCGGGAGTGCTGATTGCTTGGGTCAGACATGAAATCACAGGGAGTCAAAGCTGTCTTCTTGAGCTGAGTCAGTTCCTGGGTAAGAGCCACAAAATCAGATGAGGCAGTTTATCAATCTGGGTGGTGCCAGTTGATCCATCAAGAGCAAATCTCTCAAGCACCGATCTTAGGTTTTACAATAGGGACGTAATTCCTAGGAGCAATTTGGGGAGGGGCAGAATCTTGTAGCCTCCAGCTGCATGAGTCCTAAACCATAATTTCTAATCTTGTGGCTCATTTGTTAGTCTTACAAAGGCCGTCTAGTCCCTAGGTGAGAAGGAAGTTTGTTTTGGGAAAGGGCTGTTATCATCTTTGTTTTAAAGTATAAACTATAAACTAATAAATGTGCTTTATCAGTTAGGTGTGGTGGCTCACACCTGTAATCCTAGCACTTTGGGAGGTCAAGATAGGCAGATAACTTGAGCCCAGGAGTTAGAGACCAGCCTGGGCAACATGGAGACCCTGTCTCTACAAAAAAATACAAAAATTAGCCAGGCATGGTGGTGTGGCGTATGCTTGTAGTTCCAGCTACTCAGGAGGCTGAGGTGGGAGGATCTTGAGCTCAGGAGGCGGAGGTGGCAGCAAGCTGAGATCGCGCCACTGCACTTCAGCCTGGGTGACAGAAGGAGACCCTGTCTCAAAAAAAAAAAAAAAAAAAAAAGATCATGTTTCTCCCTTCATTCTTGTAATGCAATGGATTACACTGATTGATTAGGCAGCTCTGATTTTCCAGCATAAGCTGTAAATCTGCATTCTGGTGGGAAATTTTCCTTTTTTTTTTTTTCTTTTGAGGGGAGGGGGCTGTGTTTGAACTGACCTCTGTGCTGAGTTCAGTAGCGACCTCCCCAAAAGTCATGTCCACCCAGCACCTGTGAACGTGACCTGATTTGGAAATGGGGTCTTCATAGATGTGATCAAGGAAAGATGAGATCTTGCTGGATTAGGGAGGGCTCTAACCCAGTGACTGGTATCATTATAAGGCAGGGGACATTTGGACAGAGACACAGGAAGGAAGGCCATGTGAAGACGGAGGCAGAGGTTGCATCCAGAGCCCAGGAACACTGAGGGCTTCCGGCCACCAGCAGAAGCCAGGGAAGGGGCCAGGAGGGGGGAACCTGCCGACCCCTCGATCCTGGACTCTGGCCTGACAGGATAAACTTCTGTTGTGTTAAACCCCCTTTGTAACACTGTGTGAGGACTGCCACAGGACACCCCAGCAACTTGAAGCAGACCTTATCTAAAGGCCCCTAGGCACCTGTGGGTGGGCAGCCGCTTCTCCTGGGTGACAGCCCTCCTGAGTGACAGCCAGAGGTGACAGCCTTGGGTGACAACCCTCCTGGTTAACAGTCCTGGGTGACAGCCTTTGCTGGGTGACAACCCTTCTGGCAGACAGACCTCTTGGGTGACATGCCTCCTGGGTGACAGTCCAGGGTAACAGACCCCCTGGATGACAGCCCTGGGTGAAAGCCTGGCTGGATGACAGCCTTCCTGAAACAGCCCCCTAGGTGACAGCCCTTCTGAGTAACAGCCCTCCTGGGTGACAGCCTCCCTGGGTGACAGCCCTCCTGCGTTACAGCCCTCCTGGGTGACAGCCCTGGATACTCCAGAGTGGATGCCAGTCTTCCAGCAGAGAACCAGGCGCCAGCACCTCCTGATGATCACCAGCAGGTGGCGCCTCTGACCTAAGCACTAGGCTCCTCCGCACCCCGGGTTCCGGATGCGGCTGGGAGGAACCAGTTCAGGCGGGAGGAGCCCTGGACCGCTTGCCCTGGACCAAAATCAGGTGACGAGCGCGGGTGGACCCAGCTTCTTTACCTTCCTGAGGCGTTGGTCCAGGGGCTGGCTGCCTGCCCTGTGCAGAGGACTTTGTCCCTGGGGCGAGTGGGTGCAATAAATTTCAGGCTCTGACCCAGGGACAGAGGGGCACAGGGGGTAAACGGTCCCTCACTCTCCCCTGGCAGCGGCCCCTTGTCACAATCTAGGAAAATGTCCATCGGCCGGGCGCGGTGGCTCAAGCCTGTAATCCCAGCACTTTGGGAGGCCGAGACGGGCGGATCACGAGGTCAGGAGATCGAGACCATCCTGGTTAATACGGTGAAACCCCGTCTCTACTGAAAATTACAAAAAACTAGCCGGGCGAGGTGACGGGCGCCTGTAGTCCCAGCTACTTGGGAGGCTGAGGCAGGAGAATGGCGTGAACCCGGGAGGCGGAGCTTGCAGTGAGCTGAGATCTGGCCACTGCACTCCGGCCTGGGCGACAGAGCGAGACTCCGTCTCAAAAAATAAAAAAAAAGAAAAAAAAAAAAAGAAAAAAAAGAAAATGTCCAGAGACTGTGCCGGGTGGCGAGTTTTGCAAACCAGTCCAGTGGGTCGAAACCAGTCCAGCCGCCCCACTGAACAGATTCTGCAGTGGGTCACACCTGCAGTCCCAGCGCTTGAAGAGACTGAGGCAGGAGGATGGCTTGAGCCCAGGAGTTCGAGGCTGCCTGCCCCCTGCACCCCAGCCTGAATGACGGAGCGAAGCAAGACACCATTGCCTCTTTATTTAACAAAACAAATCAAAACAAAAACAAAAACTTTTGAAAAGTAGGTTCTGGAACCCGACTTCCTGGCCCAACTCTGGCTTTTTCCACTGTCTCGGGCGAGGGCTCAGAGTCAGACCCCGGGACCAGGATTCCAGAGCAAGTGCTTGGTTTGAGAGATGCAGGAATCCCCAGGGGAGGGCACGAGAGGCAGGGGAGGGAAGAAGCCAGTAAAGTATGCGTTATCAAGGCAGTTACCAGTGAAGCACCAGGCTCCGTGCTGCGGGGAACCCTGTGCTGCGGGGAGCCCTGGGAGATAGCGTGGAGCAGGCCCCAGAGGTTGCCACACTAAGGAGCAAGGGGCTAGAGTAGTTGTCCACCACCCCTACAGCCACTGTTGGCTGAGACCCTCTCCTGGGGCAGGGACTCTCCAGGCCTCCAGCTGTGGAGCCTGCCCATCCTTGCAGCTGGGAGAAGCAGCCCAAGGATCCTGCTCGGGCGTCCCAGGCTTAGACATGAAGAGGCAAGTCCTGCATGGGGAGGGTGGGTGATTGATGGATGGGACACCAGCTGTGTCCTCTGCGGCCACTGGGCAGCTGTGTGACCTCAGGCAATTGCTTGGCTTCTCTGTGTCTTCTCATGCTCCTTTGGTAGGAGGCTACCTAAGCCCAGTGAAGGTAGAGGGCCTAGAACTGCACCTGAACAGCGCTACACATGCCAGGATCTCAGGAGCCCAAGAGGGAGTCCCGTCACACCCCGTTTCACAGAGGAGGATGTGGAGGTCAGAGTGGCTAAGACACCTGCTCAATGCCGCCGGGCATGAGGGGACAGATGGGGCCTGGGGGACCCCGATCCCACACACACAGGACCCCTGTCCAGTGCGCTCCTATGGTTAGATCAAGACAATGCTGCCTCCAGGACCACCTCCCTCTTGCCCTGCACCAGCCAGGCATCCTCTAGGCAGGGACCACAGCACCATGGCCCCCACCCTTGGCCAGGCCTTCCAGGTCCTCTCCATAAGGTATCTTGGCACCATGCTGTGGCATCAGCATCACACACAATGCTGAGATGAAAAGTCTTATGCAGGTATCTTCACACACCTGAGCAAACATTTCTACAGGAATAATCCACCCCAGTGGGATTCTTGGATCAAAAGGAAGCACACATGATTATTATAGAAGTTGACAGGCATTGTCCCATTGACGCCCTCACCCACAGGGCTCTTTCCCCACATCCTTGGCAATACCAGGTCCTTGTTTTTAAATCTGTGCCAAACCGATGGGCAGAGAGTGGCACCTTGTCATGTTGTCTCCTGCCTGTTTGACCCAGGATTTTGTGGACCGTGGGTTTGGCAGCTGCT